GTAATACGACAACATGGACATACGCGTACCTCGAGTAATGCTACCTTCGAGGCGGCCTTCTGTGACTGCGGGATCGCCACCGCTGACACGTGCTCGGCCGTCGCCGGCTCGGGCTGCTCGGCGACGGCAGTCGCTCGCGCCACCTTGGCCATCCGATGCCTTTCCACCGGGCGTGCGCTGTCGAGCTCGGTGGACACGTCAACCGCTGTCGTTGTTGGTGTTTCTGTGCTGCCACCGACCGCCACTGCCGCCGTGGTCGTCGATCTTCCGCGCCGTTTGGACGCTTGGCTTTGGCGCCCTGCCATTCTGATTCTGACGCCAAATGTGATGTGGACCACTTTTGCGCTGGATGCGTCCAATACAAATTGCAAGTGAATATTCCTGATGTATCCGTAAACGTGAGGAATGTGAGATGGCCGCGCATCCCATACAAAAATCAAGTCAAACCATTGCCTTGCATGTAACATACCTCCGATTTGCGGAACAAAAAGTTGCGCTGGGGCTTGAGGTGCCGATGCAGATTGCCGGAAATATTCGTAAACCTACGGGATGTATGGATACCAAGGCAAGAGCCACGACCAATGGCGCATATCCGAGTTCCGACCATGGGCGGCGCGGCAACCGAGAGACACATCGAGGACGCACCAGACCTCGCCGACGTCGACGAGCGCGCTGGTGCGCCCGATGAAGACACATCTGGGAACACTGCTTCGCAAGTGAAGGGTCAGTTTACGAAACCCCAGCACGCATCTACCTTAGTGCCTTTGATGCGTACAGCTAAGCAGTACAGATCAAATTTTGAATGGATTAGGTTCTTGTTAGAGAGTATCGTATTGGAGCACTGGCGGTACATGAGGCGTATCGAGTGAAGAAAGAGGCGGCTCATTGCTGACGTAGAGCGGCCGAACTCGTTGGCAGCCGTAAAGAGTATGCTGGACTCCGAGAGCCGGCGACACACGATGGCCAGTGCTTCGAGGGCCAAAACACTATCGCCCGCCTTGGTGACGACTCTGGGCTCGGGCACGATGCGATCGGCCAAGTACTGGAGCTGATGAATGGTAAAACGGAAGCGCTCGATTGCCGTCGCGTCATCGAGCTCGGGGTTGAATGCGTTGGAGAAGTCGATGCGCGCGGGCGGACGCCTGATACGGAACAGCATGTTGGCGTGGAGGCGGCGCAGAATACGAAGGACGCGGCGCAAGTCATCTCTTCAGGCAGCGTGCGAGCGGCAGATGAAGTCGGCAGCTTCTGCCGAGCTCACGGCGGCGCAACGAAGGCCATGGAGGGCAATGGAAAGGGTTTTGCTACAATGGAAAGCTGCCGCTTATCCGATGGCGCGTACGGTTAACCCTCCGGATGCCCGAAACACGCGCTTCGCGAGACTGAAACTCTCGTTGAGTTTTTGCCGATTTACTCAAAGTTGAAACTCACCAAAGCGAACGTCCTGTTTCAGCAGCCAATCAGAACGCAGCATTTTGAAAATGAAAGTGAAAGTGAAAGAGGAGCAAAAAAGGTGCTCCGAAATCTCTCTATTGAGCACATCTAGTCGCACAGCTTGATGGTGCGACAGCGACGACTACATCGAGAGTGATCAAGACTCTTTATGGATGATGCTAAGCGACCTGATTACATTTTACGTAAAACGATCATCAATAAATACTGCTGTGCTAAAACATGTGCGATCCACTCCAGATTGTTGTTGCTCCCGCTTATCTGCAATTGAATAGTGATGCAGGTGCATGTTTGTCATTTTGGTTGGCTTGGTTGGAAAGTGCTCAAGACTAGGTGCGTCTTTACCCGTTGTTGTTGTTGAAGTGGGTCGTTTATTACAATAGATAAACCATGCTAAATAAAATTGTCGGACTTTCTTCGTTGTGTGTACTCGGTTGAGGGACTTTTCAGGCAGGCGGAGGCAGGAGCGCGATCCGCGGGACGAGGTGACGTCGCGGCCACTCGTGTTGGGCGA